CTTCTTTCTTCCTATGAAATACACATTTTAACTTGTTGTTAGGTGCCATCAAGTTGGTATCAACTCATAGCGACCCAATGCACAAAAGAACAAAACAATGCCAGGTCCTGGGCCAACCTTACAATTGTTACCATGCTTGAGCCCACTGATGCTGTCAATCTGCCAATCCAACTCACTGGGGGTCTTCCTCTTTTTCTCTGACCCTCCACCTTACCAAACATGATAATCCTTTTCCAGTGACAGCTCTCTCCTGACAATATGTCCAAAGTATGAGAGACGAAGTTTGGCCATCTTGGCCTTCAAGGAGCACTCTGGCTGCACTTCTTCCAACACAGATCTGTTGGTTCTTTTGGCAGCCCATGGCACTTTCAATATTCTCCTCCAACACCACAACTAAAAACCATCAATTCTTCTACGGTCTTCCTTATTCATTGTCCAACTTTCGCCTGCATATGAGGTTATTGAAAATACCATGGCTTGGGTAAGGGACACCTCAGTCCTCAAGCTGACATCTTTGCTCTTCAAAGGTCTTGTGCAGCAGATTTGCCTAATGAGTAATACATCATCTGATTTCTTGGTTACAGCTTCCATGAGGGATGATAGTTGATCCAAGAAGAATGAAGTCCTAGACAAGTTCAATCTTTTCTCCATTGATAAGAATGTTGTTTCTTGGTCCAGTAGTGGTGAGGATTTTTGTTTTCTTTACATCGAGATGCAATCCATACTGACGGCTATTCTCTTTGATCTTCATCAGTAAATATTTTAAGTCCTCTTCAACTCTCAGCAAGCCATGTAGTATCATCTGCATATGTTGCTGTCGTTAAGTGCCATCAAATCAGGTTCCAACCTACAGTGATGCTCCCTGTATAGGTTTCCAAGGAGTGACTGGTAGGCTTGAACTGCCAACCTTGCAGTTCAAACGGCTTTGCAGTCTGGTGCATTAACCCACAGAACCACAGCAGGTTGTTAATGAGTCTTCCTCCAATCCTGATGACATGTTTTTCTTCATATGTAAAGTGAGGGGTAGTAAAAAAGAGGAAGACCATAGATATGGATGGACACAGTGGCATCAATAGTGGGCTCATATATAATAGCTCTAAGGAGGTTCGGGACTAAGCAGTATTAACCCACCTTCTCAGATGATTTGCTCAGCATACAGGCTGAATAAGTATGGTGAAAGAATACAACCCTGTCACACACCTTTCTTAATTTTAAACCATTCACTGTTCCATGTTCTGTTTGAACACTGCCTCTTGATCCAGTAAGGTACAGATTCCTCATGAGCACAAATAAGTGTTCCAGAATATTCATACTTTGCAATGTTGTCCATAGCTTGTCATGATCCACACAATCGAAGTTGTGTAGTCAATAAAGCACAGGTAAACATCTTTCTGATACACTCTTTCAGCCAAGATCCATCGGACATCAGCAATGATATCCCTCATTCCACAGCCTCTTCTGAATGCGGCTTGAACCTCTGAAAGTTCTCTGTCAATACATGCTTGCAGCAGTTTCTTTATTATCTTTAGTAAAACTTTACTCGCTTGAGATATCAAAGAGATTGTCCGATGATTTCCGCATTCCATTGGGTCACCTCTCTTTGGAATGGGCACAAATAAGGATCTCTTCCAATCAGTCGGCCAGATAGCTGTCTTCCAAATTTCTTGGCAGAGATGAGTGCCTCCAGTGCTCCCTCATTTTCTTGAAAGATTTTAATTTTTATTCCATCAATTCCTGGTGCCTAGTTCTTTGCCGATTCCTTCAATACACCTTGGACTCCCTCTTTCAGTATCACTGGCTCTTAGATCATATGCTACCTTCTTGAAATTACTGAATATCAATCTTTTTCTTTTGGTCCAGGGACTCGTGTATTCCTTCCACCTTCTTTTGATGCTTTCTACATCATTAAATAATTTGCCCAGAGAATCATTCAGTAACGGAAGTTGGGGCTTGAATTTTTTCTTCAGTTCCCACATCTTGAGAACTGCTGAGCGTGTTCTTCCCTTTTAGTTCTCTGATTCCGCATCTTTGCATTTTGTCATAATATTTGACTTTATCTTCTTGAATTGATCACTGAAATTTTCTTTTCAGCTCTTCTACCTCCTTTCTTCCATTTGCTTTAGCATCTCGACGCTGGAAAGCAAGTTTTAGTGTCTCTTCTGACATCCATTTTGACCTTTTCCTTCTTTCTTGTCTTAATGACTTTTTTCTTTCTTCATATATGATGTTCTTAATGCCATCCCACAACTCTTCTGGTCTTCGGTCTCTAGTGTTTAATGTATCAAATCTGTTCTTCAGATATCTCTAAATTCAGGTGAGATATATTCAAGGTCAAATTTTGGCTCTCGTGGACTTGTTTTCATTTTCTTCACCAATTTTAATTTGCATATGAGCCATTCATTGATGGTTTGGTTCCACATCTGCCCCTGGCCTTGTTTTGACTGATGATATGGAGCTTTTCCATCATCTCTTTCTGCAGGTATAGTCAATTTGATTTCTGTGTATTCCATCTGGTAGGTCCATATGTATAGTTGTTTCTTATGTCGGCTAAAGAAGGTATTTGAAATGAACAAATCATTGCTTTTGCAGAATTCTATAATGCATCCTCCAGAATCATTTCTATCTCCAAGGACTTATTTTTCAACTACTGATCCTTCCTCTTTGCTCCCAACCTTTGCATTCCAATCACCAGTAATGATCAATATATCTTGACTGCATGTTTGATCAATTTCAGATTGAAGAAGTTGGTAGAATTCTTCTATTTCGTCCTCATTGGCTTTAGTGGTTGGTGCGTAAATGTGAATTAATAGTGGTATTAACTGGTCTTCTCCGTAGGCACACGGATATTATTCTATTACAGACAGCGTTCTTCCTCATGACTGATCTGGATATTTTGAGAATGAATGCTACATCATTCCTTTTCAATTTGGCATTCCCAGCATAGTAAACCCTGTGGTTGTCAGATTCAAAATTGCCAATACCAGTCCATTTCAGCTCACTAATATCTAAGATATCGATGTTTATGCACTCCATTTCATTTTTTGAGAATTCTAATTTTCCTAGATTCATACATCGTACATTCCATGTTCTGATTATTAATGGATAATTACAGCTATTTCTCGTTCTGAGTTGTGCCCCATCAGCAAATGAAGGTCCCCGTGGGCTTTACTCCATTCACGTCATCATGGTCAACTCTACTTTGAGGAGGCAGTGCTTCCCCAGTTGCATTTTGAGTGCCTTCCAACCTAAGGGCCTCATTTTCCAGCACTATATATGAGTGTTTCTCTGCTATTCATAAAGGTTTTCAGTGACTAAATATTTTAAGTATTTCATCACTCCTTCTTCCTAGTCTGTCTTCATCTGGAAGCTTATCTGAAACCTGTCCACCATGGGTGATCCTGCTGGTATTTCAAATATCAGTGGCATAGCTTCCAGAATCACAGCAACTCACAAGCCACCATAGTACAACAAACTTACACTTTTTAATAACTACATGTTGTCATGAAAGTTCTCTCCAAAGGTCAACTTTTCTAGCTCTTTAAAACAATTTTGATTTTTTTCTCAATATTATCTCCTGAACAAACATGAATGTTGATACACTGATGCTGTTATTATGTGCTGTCAAATATTTCCACCTGACAGAGAGACCCTATACACAACATAGTAAAATACTGCCTAGTCTCGAACCTCCTTAGAGCTCTTACATGTGAGCCCACTACTGATGTCACTGTGTACATCCATGTCTATGGTCTTCCTCTTTTTCACTATCCCTCACTTTGCCAAGCATGATGTCCATCTCCAGGGACTGGTACCGGATAACAAGTCCAAAGTAAGAGATGAAATATCACCATTCTGGCTTCTAATGAGAAATCTGGTTGTACAAAACAGATTTGTTTATTCTTCTAACAATCCATGCTACTTTTAATATTCTTCATCAACACTGTAATTCAAATGCATTAACTCTTCTACAGTCTTTCTTATTCACTATCTAACTTCCACATGCATATGAGGCTGTTGAAAATATCATGGCTTGGGTCAGGCGCAAGTTTTCAAACCAATATCTTTGATCTTCAACACTCAAAAGAGATCTGGGCAATAGATCTGCGTTATTCGACTTCTTGGCTGTTGCTTCCATAAATGTTCAATGTGGATCCAATCAAAAATGACCTTAGAGTTTGCATTCCTGGTATACTTGCAATTTGCAGTCCTGGCATACTATAGAGGTAGTACATTCCTTTTTTTGCATAAAATTACTAGTATTAGGAGTTATCGTATGGTCCTGTAGAATAAGTATTGGACTTACTAACTGCAAGGTTGGTGGTTCAAACCCATATGCTGCTCCTCAGAAACCCTAACAAAGGCACTAAAGAACCACCAGTATGAAGAAATATACCACACTTGTCAAAAGGCTATTGCTTATAACCTTCTGCCTTTTCATTCATGTTTAAAAAATCCTTTTAAGAGGAGGTAGGCTACAAAAATATACCCACAATGTAACCTCTCATTAATTATTTAAATTTTAAAAAATAATAAACATGATTTTAAAAATGTAAATTATTTTGTTAATTACCTGTAAGACATGTTGTTAAATGCTGTCCCGTAGATTCCATCTCATAGTGACCGTTTCCAAGAAGCGAATGGTGAGCTTGAACCACCAACCTTGCAAGTTCATAATTACTTTGCAGTCTAGCGCATTAACTCACAACACCACACCAGGACTCTGGCAGACATGTAGACCTTGTTATTTCTTTAGTTATCCTTTAAATTGCTGTGGTGGTATAGGATGGGAATTGGACTGCTAACCACAAGGTCAGTGGTTCAATCCTATCAACCATTCCTTGGAAGCCCTACACAGGTTCGCTCTGAGTTGGAACCAACTCAATGACACTTAACAGTAACATGAACTATTATTATAAATCATGGAAGCATGTTTTAATCATTTAAAAATATTACAGTACTTTTATTTGAATTACATCTGGGCAATTAATAATATCACTTACCATTGCCATATGGAAATGCACGTGCAGAACGACCATCATAACCAGAGGAATGTCCACTATGGAAGAAAAATACATTTCAATTTCTGCATTTTAGTAGTTTGGTTATAAATATAGAACAGTTAGGCATAACTACCTTAGCTTTGTACTCCTGGTGTGGTGCTACAGAATCTGCACTGGACCGCGAACTACAAGGTCAGAAGCTCAAACACACCAGCTGCTCCTTGGAAACCTTATCAGGGTGTTGCTGTGAGTCAGAACTGACTTGATGGCATCTAACAAACACCACCTTGGCTTAAATTTTGTTGTCATGATGTGCCGCGGAGTTGGTTCCGAATCATAGCAATCCTGTACAGGGTTTCCAAGGCTGTAAATCTTTATGGGAGCAGAAAGCCTCATCATTCTCCCATGGAACAGTAGTTCCAAACTGTTGACCTTAAGGTTCGCAGCCCTATTCGTAACCACTACACTACCAGTGTTCCTTATATTTACCTAGCATTTAATGATAAGCTTTTAGTTTGTCCGTTCATTTGTCAATACTAAACATAACCATTTAACGCTTTTTAAGCTCAAATATATTACACAGAGACTAAGAAGAGCGTAGCATGACTTTTGGGATGCAGAAGCTCTGTGATGTGACACTTACCAAACCCCAACATAGGCGTCTCTTCATTGCACTATTTTTGGATTTATGAGAGGGCTTCAAAAAGTTTGTGGAAAACCTGTATGATCTCTCAATTTCATTTTGTGCATGAATTTCATGAAGTCACCCCTTGTATTTCAATTTGTATGACAGGTAAAGGGGTCTTGATGGTACAGTGGTAAAAGTGCTTGGCTGCTAACTGAAAAGTTGTAAGTTTGAACACATCAGCCTCTCTGTGGGAGAAAGACATGGCAGTCTGCTTATGTAAAGATTACAGGGCAGCGCAACTCTGTCCTATAGGTTTGCTATAAATCAGAACCAACTCACCACCATTAGGTTTGGTTGATTTTTACAGCAGATATGGTGTCTCTCATCTCCCATGAGCTCTCTGAGTCATATTAGCAAATTATTAAGCTCAAAGGAGCAGGGAGCTGAGTGACCTTGAGTAAAAAGAGTTACGTGGACTCCCAGGCTTATGGCTGATACTCCTGATGGGCTGGCAGGAAGCTTCAGGTTTGAGGCCAGCTAGTCTGAAGTAAAGGAGTCAGATTACAGTGGGAGAAAGATGGTAGTTGTCTGCTCCATACATATTACAGACTTGAAAATTCTGTGGGGCAGTTCTACCTCACTACCTTAAAAGGTCAATGTGAGTTGTAATCCACGTGATGACAAGGTTTTTGGATCTAAAGTGGAGAGAGTTATATGAACTCCCAAGTAAGGATGGTCCCCACTGACGCACCCCTGAGTGCTGGATGGGGATGAGAAAGACTAAGGCTATGAGGGCAGTTGGGGGAGGCTAAGCTTTCCATAGGACATAGCTGGCATGTAGAGTGGGATTTACAATCCTCTAAACAATATGGTGAACCGCAAGGTCAGCAGTTCGAAACTACCAGCTGTTCCACGGGAGAAAGATGAGGCTTTCTGCTCCTGTAAGGATTTACAGCCTCGGAAACCCTATACAGGGTCGCTATGAGTCAGAACCGACTCCAAGGCACACAACAACAACAAACAATATGGAGTCCTGGTGTGGCGCTGTGGGTTAATGTACCAGACACCAGACTGCAAAGCCGGCTGTTCAAGCTCAACAGCTGCTCCTTGGAAACCCTATACAGGGTCGCAATCCACTCGACAGCACTTAACAACAACAAACATTATGGAGCTCTGGTTACGAATCGGGCTGCTAATCTCACCGTCAGCAATTCGAAACTATCAGCTGTTCCGCAGATAAAAGATGAGGCTTTCTGCTCTCGTAAAGATTTACAGCCTCGAAAGCCCTCTAGAGGGTCGCTATGCGTCAGAATCAACTCCACAGCACATAACAACAAACAACATGGTGTCAGAAGTGGGTGATCTTAGTCACCCTGGACCGGTTTACACATTTATCTGTTAGCATGGTTTGTTCAAAGTCGGACCCTAAGTGCTTCAATGTGATCCAGTAATTCTGCTCCACTGTTAAAGTCAACCAATGAAACGTTTTATTATTTTATTTCTTTTGCTCCTTGTATGTTCTATTATGGAAGCCTGGTGTGGTGGTGTAGGGTAAGCACTGGACTGCTAACCATAAGCAGCCACTACCAGCTAACCAGAGCAGCTGGTAGATGGTTAGCCACTGGACAGCTAACCATCCACCAGCCTCTCCTCGAAAACCTTACATAGGGTCACTATGAGTTGGAACCAACTCGATGGCACTTTAACAACAATGCTCTACTATACTCATGGAAACATAAGCAGCACAGCTTTTTAACCTTTGGAGAAAATGTATGTTTAACAGAAGGAAATAAAATTAAGTCATTAGGCTCACATACTTCACAATATCCTGAATTTTAACATTTCTTGTCTTTCTGCATGATTTAAATTAAAAAGCTGTATCTATCCTTCTAAAGCTTACTTGCCATTGTAGAGTAAATGACAGTGTTGTTGTTAAGTGTCGGTCCTTTTCTGCTCATAGCGACCCTGTACAGGGGTTCCAAGGAGCAGCTGATGAGTTTAGACCACTGACCTTGCTTACTCTACAACACCACCATCAGGACTTCTATACAGGGTAGCTAGGAGTCGGAACTGAGTTGATGGCACAAAACAACAGTAACAATTATTCATTAATACTTTCTATTTGACAAGAATCGTTCTGGTGGTTTACATTCAGTATCTGTTATAATCCTTATAGCTCTATAAACTTCTTTTGGCAAATGAAAATTGAGTCTCAAAAAGGTTATGAATCTTACCTAGCAACAAAAGCTAGGAAATTCTGAAATCAAAATTCAAAATAGGTCTCTGTGATTTCAACACCTATCTGGTAAGATACAGTGACCCTAAGTACTCAAGCCAAGCCTACTATTGCTGAGCCAATCCTGACTCACAGCAACCTGACAAGACAGAGTAGAACTGATCCACAGGGTTTCTGAGATTATAAATCTTGGGGTATAGACAGCTCCATCTTTTCTCACTAAGCAGCTAGGGGTTTTCACTGTCGACCTTGCAGTTAGTAGCCCAACCTTTAACCCACTGCCACAGGGTATTGCGGTGGTAGTTATGTGCTGTGGGGTCGGTTTTGACTCATAGTAACTCTGCACAGGGTTTCCAAGGCTATAAATCTTTACAGGAGCAGAAAGCCTCATCTTTATCCTGTGGAACTGCTGGTAGTTTCCAACTGCTGACTGTGAGATTAGCAACCCGACTCATAACCACTACACTAACCAGAGCTCCTTGCACAGGTTATTAATAATAATAATAAAAACTATAGGGAGTCCTGGTGTGGTACTGCGGGTTAATGTGCTGGACTGTCAAGTCATTTTGAACTGTAAGATCAGCGGTTCAAGCTCACCAGCCACTCTAAAACCCTATACAGGGTAGCTTATGGATTGGAACCGACTCAACAGCACTTAACAACAGCAACTCAGCCATGAAAAGGAGCCCTGGTAGCAGAGTGGCTATGCACTGAGCTGCTAATCAAAAGGTCAGCAGTTTGAATCTACGAGCTATTCTGCTACACAGCAGAAAGGTGAGAGCTTTCTGCTCCCTTAAAGATTTACAGTCTAGGAAACCCTACACAGAGCTGCTACATGTAGGAACCAACTAGACGGCACATTACTACTATCCACCATAACCATATAGAATGGATCCAATCACTCTTTTGAAAGCTGAAATGCAGCAGGGTAGCAAAGAATAATTGTGCGTAATTACAAAATTCCCAAATGGTGGTGGTTATGTGCCATGGAGTCAGTTCCGACTCATAGCAACCCTGTACAGGGTTTAGAGGCTGTAAATCCTTACGGGAGCAGAAAGTCTCATCTTTCTCCCACAGAACAGCTGGTAGCTTTGAACTGCTTACCTTAAGATTCGCAGCCTGATTCATAATCACGTCGCCAAATAGATTTGCATTATTAATGATTTCTATTAATCTATATTTAAATTTTCCACAAAACCGAATGGTGGTGGTTGGTGGTTGTGAACTATGGAGTCAGTCCCAACACACAGTGAGCCTGTATAAGGTTTCCAAGGTTGTACATCTTTACAGGAGCAGAAGGCCTCATCTTTCTCCTCTGGAGCAGCTGGTAGATTCGAACCTTTTAGGGGTTTATTTAATCAGTGCAATATATTAGAACAAGGCACTATTTCAAACCACTATCATTTAACTTTACTAGTCCTTTTTTTTTGAAGTCCCCGTGTGGCGCTGTGTGTTAATGCGTCAAACTGCAAAGCCATTTGAACTGCAAGGTCATTTAAGCTCACCAGCTGCTCCTTGGAAACCCTATACAGGGTCATTATGGGTCGGAATCGGGACTCAACGGCACTTAACAACAACAGTCCTTTTTTGGTATTAGGCCATATGTTCAACATTCCTATATAAAAACAACTAACATAGCTCTAAGTTATGAAATAAAAGGCTAGAGTCCTGGTGGTGGTGTGGTGCCGTACAAAAAAGTACTGGGCTGCTAACCACAAGGTCAGTGGTTCAAACCCACCTTGAAAGCCTTATACAATGTCACTAAAGTCAGAATCGACTCAAGGACATTTACCACCACAATATATATATATACACACATACATACACATATCCATATATCTACAAAATTAAATCTTTGAAATTATGAAGATAGGTATGATTCTTTTGTCAGAACCTATCAATGATGAAAAATCCAAAATACCCACACTGATTTACCTTTCTATTGTTGGTATAAGAGATGGAGGTGGAGCACCTGGTGGAGGAGGGAAACCTGAAACAAGTCAATCAGAAGATAAAACTGTTACTAGAGTTGACATTCAATGAAAACATAAATAAGGTTTCTGCATTATCACTAAATTTCTCTGGGGAAACAATATGCTTCTCTATGTTATAATGAACAAGAAAAAAAAAAAAAGGATACTTATAAACATATTTTTAGAGTTATAAAACATTACATGAACAGTCTGATCTAATACACAGAGCACAAACTGGGAGTCATGACACCTGGTCTTATTTTCAGCACCACACACAGCCCATTTTATATATATGAAGAAGTTAATCTCAATGCCTTACCTTTTCCATATATAAAACAGTAGTAGTGTTGCCACCAGATTTGTTATACTTGAAAATCAAATAAAATAGCATTTACCACTTTTAAAAATATTTTAAGAGTTTTAGATGCAGAAAACTTTATTTAAAATGTGTAACTTATAAATGAACCCTTACCAATAAATATAGAAATGCTTAAGGCTAAGAACATCCATCACAAAATGTTTTAAATGGCACAACCCCAAAGAATTTTACAAAAGAAAGGCACATAGGGTAGTTTTTGGATCGGTTTAGAAAGAAAATAATTTGCACCTTTATATAATGAGGTCTGCATTCTCAGTAACTCCCAATACCTAAGTGAAATACAGGAAGTAACGGGGCTAAAAGGGACCTTAACAGTTAATCTACTCTATGCTTTAAAATTCAGATAGGCAGTGAAGTATCCCAACGATAGACTTCAAGACCTCTAGAGATAGAGATTCCATAAACTTATGATACTAATACCTTCCAAGTCTTAGCAATTCTATTAGAAAATGCCATGATATATAACTTAAATTTATCACACTACAATTCATATCCTGCCATGATCATACTCTTACTAACCTTAATAGACTTTGAAAACCCTTCCCATAAACTTCCTTCTTAGCATTCATTACATGTAAAAAGTGAACCCCAGGACTCTCAATTCTGCTTCCAGGTCCATTTAAATCTACTTTGGGATCCTGCTTCAAATGGTTTCTAGTCCACCATGTTCACCTTCACTTTTTCCATATCTACACATAACTCCTCTTTTAAACACCTTCCAAGTGCAAGGTAATTACCACATTAGTCCTAGAGCACACAATCCTATTTTACACAGGCTCACAATCACACTGTTTTTAGTCTAAAAACACACACCACTGACCCCCTTAAGACTTAAGACTTTTAAGATAAGTCTCTTTCAGCCACATTCATACACAAAGCAGTGACTCTCTGTCTCACATCTAAATGTGTACAGTACCTTATGTTATCTCAACTTCACTGCTTCTAGGCACTGTTACTTTTCATTCTCTTTATATTCTTTGGCTTTTAAAACTGCACTCAGTAAGCACATTTGCTATCTCATTATTAAAATACACTGACAAAAATGTAAAAAGAAATGTCACTGAGTGTATACACTGCGCCAGGACTACACAGCCATTGATAAAACCCTTACAACATTGAACAATTTAATAACGATTTTAAGAACAACCATCTAACCAGTTTTGAACCCATCTAAAATTGTCATAGTTGAGAACGTATTTTCTCATGGTATTGAGTTAGGACAGCAGGGTCAAAATCAGGAATCATGATAAGGTCAAAATCAATTTTCTCTTCTCTAGAAGTCATTTATCATATAGTATACAATGATTATAAAAGATCATTTATATCCTATACTGTTTTCTTCATAAATTAATATGGTTGAGAATTTTCTCAGAATCTCTAGTTCTATAGAAATGGGTAAGACAGGTATAAGAAAACTAAACATCATAATCAAAACTGGACTGAAGCAAAGGCAGAGCTGAAAATAGGACCTTGAAACCCCAATAGCCTACTCCACATTCTAACTACATCAACACTGTCCCTCCTGTAACTAGAAACTTGAAATTTCATGTTTATTAACAATGATGGAGAAAACATGAAAAAAGTTTTACCTGGAGGTGGTACAGTTATTGGAATACCTAAAAAACAAGTGATGAAATTTAATATAGTAATTGGATTTCATAACCTGTTATGTATTTATGCCATCACCAAACAAACTTTGAAATACAACCATTGGCCTATTCTCTCGAGAGAATCATTCTGTTTTCTTGCAGGGGGCCAACAATTCCAATATAACATCTGACCTCCCTGATAAAACTAACAACCTTATAACGTACAGTTTCCCCACTAACTATAATCACAGATGCAATTACAGGCAACTTTTAAAAAGCACTCTTGTGCACACACAAATATAAAAACCCATTATATTAACACTGAATTTGATAACCAACGACGGATATTTCTATTCCTAAAAATAAACACTTATATTTTAACATTTCAGTAGGTAAACTGATAAATACTACATATTGAACAAGACAGCTAAAGATAATGGCTCTCATTCACTTTGGTAAAACTCAGTACACTGTGGGGCATCAAAGTTAATTTGGCTAGTTTTCCTGTGGCCAGCAGAAGTGAGGAAAAGTTAATGTTGCCCTGGATTTGAGGAGTACAAAAAGGGGTAGAGCCAATTCATATACCTCTAGGGCCCATTTGTAAGTGTCAGTAAATTAAGTAAACTGAGTGATTCTCACTCATTATTTGCACATATTACAGACTTTAAACACAAAAATTAAATTCAGCAATGTAAGAGATGAACAGAAAAAAAAAAAAAAATTAAAACTTTTTCATGAAAAGTTTTATACCATAAATAACTTCAACAGTCAGAATGGTTTACTAAATCCTTAGAAAATGAATCAAATTTAGTCCAAAATAGGAAAAAAAATAATCTCATTAACTAAATGCATAGAAAAAAAAACGTAAAAAAGAATACTCTCAAAAAATTTGTAAATGGAAACATCTGTTAATAATTTATTTCATTTTTAGCATACATATTTTGTTAGAGTTTAATATAAAAAGATCTTAAGGCAACAAGTGGCCTTAAAATGGAGAGTAAAGTACCTGACATAACCACCGATGCAATGAAAGCATATTCTAAACTTAGAAAATCAACATGACTGAAAAATATATGAAAAGCAGCCATCACATTTCAAAAAATATTAGGTTTCCATACCCATCTACTGGAGTCCTGGTATGGCGCTGTGGGTTAAGGCGCCAGACTGCAAAGCCGTTTGAACTGCAAGGCAGCAGTTCAAGCTCACCAGCTGCTCCTCGGAAACCCTATATAGGGTCGCTATGGGTCGGAACCAACTCGATGGCACTTCACAACAACAACATACTCATCTACTAAACTCATCTACCTACAATTAATGGATAATTCTCATCCACCCAGATTATCTGCTTCCTAAACCACTATGCTCAAGAATTCAGCAAACAATCCAAGCAGCAGAGTCCCACAGACACCAAACTAAATGAGAAAATGAAGCACGGCAGAGAATATTCTTAGCATCAACTACTAACTGATTTTCTTTAGAACAGGAATGATTTTTTTTAGCATACTATTGCTTTTCACTATGTGATCTAGTTTTCAGATTTAACTGATTTTACACAAGGCATAAAAATAAAGCACCACACCAAAATCAACCTCCTACATGGGGGCCTTCACAAGTTTATGGAAAACTTCCATTAGCTTTTAATTCAGTCTTTCCACACACTTTTAGAAGCTCCCTTGTACTAATCTATTCTATACTCCTAATAACTTTACATGAACAGCATTCATCACTTTAACAAATGCTTGACTACAGCTTACCAAAATGTGAACACATGCAAAATAATTGAGAAATGTCTAGCTGGCCCCCTCAAAATTTAGACTTCAAAAACTTGGAAAAGCTTCCACAAAACAAAAGACATTATGTCCAAATTACTAAACATGTGATGAAGCTGGTTAAAAACCACATGCCTTTCATTTTAATCTTACTATTGTAGTAACAGTATACTGGTGTGGCATTGTAGGTTAATCACAAGGTCTGTTTGAACTGCAAGATCAGTGTTTCAAACCCACCAGTTGCTCCTCAGAAACCCTGTACAGGTTAGCTATGAGTTGTAATTGCACTTAACAACAACAACATGGTAGCATTCTCAGAGTCCTGGTGTGGCACTATAGGCTAAGCACTGGATTGCTAACTGCAAGGTCAGCAGTTGAAACCCACCAGCTGCTTTCAGAAACCCTGTGAAGGGTGCTATGAGTCGGAACTGACTCAACGGCACATGAAAACACGGTAGTATCACAGCACAGATTAGGAATTAGGGAAAAATACACATACACAAAGCAAAAAGGAAATTATTAAGACCAATCAAAGAAAATTATGCTTTACAGATGTTTCTCCAATTGACATCTACACATCAGAAAGCTGGCATGAGAAGTAGAAAGGGTCCTTCTTGTGAGACCTCTATTTCATCTACGACATTAATGTACTTCCTTATTAGTAAATGTATGAACGTGATGATATGATACAGAATCAATTCTTTGACAATGATCAAATGAATTCTGAATCGGCAACTGAAAAAACAAAATTTTATGATACAGTGTAAGGCCAACATTATGCTCATTTAAAAATCACTACTTAATATTTCATTTTTGCTAACAAAAGAGAAATGGTGTAAGGAAGAGAAAATTCACCCAAAATCCTAGTCTTCTAATGAACACACCCTAACTAACTAACTGCCCAACCTAAGACTTGAAACATAAAGCAAGTATTTTGCTTCTTTCTGTATCTACTATCTAGAAAACAAGAAGGGAGGAAAAAAAGTTTTATTTTCTAGAAAGTCTTTCATTACAGAAATAAAAGAAGACTAGCCAAAAAGTTTCCTAAAAAGTTATACTGAAATTCCAATGGGACTGAATAAATCAGTGGATTTGAAACTTTATAGTGGCTATCAGAAATCACCTAGAATTTAATATGCACAGATTTCTGGACCCCACTCTTAGTATTTCTGACTCAGTAGGTCAAGGCCAGACCTGATAATTTGCAGGATACGGTGATGTGTTGTTGGCCTGGAGACATTCTTAGAAAACTACTAGACAAGATTCTAAATTTTCCTTCT